GAGATTAATAGATTCGCGATTGCAATACGCGAGTAGCGACCATTAACATATTTATCGTATCTACCGAAACTTGCTAGAGATATATACAAACACTCTGAACTTAAACACCCTCTGCCCACACCGGACCTTTAACTCACGGACACAATGCAGTGGCGTGTCGCCAGCGTACTATAGTTCACAATATACTTAATGCGTAACTATGCGTCTATAATTGAGGCACTAATACCGTAACGTACCGTAATCCTAGTAGTATATTTATCTTAGTTTGCGTTAATTAAATCAGAAGAATTATATCTATATTGACGTGCAGTACGGCGGCGTAATCTATTGTTTGCGAGTTTTTTTTGCCTGACTATAGTATTTTTATAACTGACCTACTACTTATCATAGACCCTAAATATTTGTCGCAGTTGTGCTCTTAGGCCACGACCTTATGTTTTGTGAGTAGCAGTGATCAGGAGGTAATAATAACAAAGTTGAACTGACACGAATAATTAATAATACGAGATATAATCTGAAACTGACAAGTGAGAATTGTCGTACAGCTATATAACTAAGCCGCCTCTTGAGTAGGATTTAACTAATATAAATAATACACTATGTACAACACAGCACGATATGAACTCGAACAATATAACGTAAAATATTCACGAGCGTAATAACTTCCCATTTATTTCCCCCTCTGAGCAGTACGCCCTGCTGACTATATCCATTGCAAAATCATACACTCCCTCGGATCACCTCGTCCTCTCGACATAGGCGTATAAAGGTTTCAACGGAACGTGTGGGTCACTTTGCGTACGGTGAAGCCTGGGCGTTCAGGCCACTTTCGCAGCAGCCGCGCTCTTCCCCTTCAGCTTCGAGCTGTCACGCCCTTCTGACTTCATTCGGTGCTTTGGTCGCGTGCGACTTGACGTCGACAGCGGCGGCGGACCTGTGGCTGGCAAGTTGGGGCGCGCGGTGGAGCGGCTACCGTGGCAGTTCCCACAGCCCCGCCGATTCCTGCAGGATCTGTGGGCGGATGCATCGGATCGGACGAGAAGACCCGTGTGGAGGGTGGCTGCGCGGTCGGGGTGCCTACGTGGGCGCCGGGCCGCCGCGCTCGGGTACGTGTACGCATGGCGACAGGATCGGCAGGCTCGCTCCTCGACCCCGATACGTTTAAGATCACTGCTCCGACGATAGTGGGATATCGACTGGTAAGTTGCCTGACTAATACTGTGATTGAGGACGTATCAAGAACGCGGTGCGTAGCTTGATCTGGTGTTGGCAGTATGTGATGTGGTGTTGAATGGTCGGCTGTGATTGGTCTGTGTGGTGACCGGTCGCGCTAGCTATGGTGGATTCTCGAATCGTGCAAGCGTTGAAGCCTGCAATGAGCATGTGCCGTGCGTGATAGTGTGGAAACCAAGAGGAAAATACTCCGCGCGTGCCAAGTGTGACACTATATTAAAGATCATCGGCGTTCATGTCGGATGCACTATTGGCTGTGTCATATGTGTTAGGTGGTTTAGTTTAAAGATTAGATCGTAAGGTGTCTGCGCTGTGGAGCGATTAGTGACGTTGCCGTGTGGTCGCGCTCTGCGCTCGGCAGCGTCGGCGGTTTCTGGGCGTCCTGTGCGTTGGAGTGTGTGTAGGTGCGCCGTGCGTCGCGTGTAGTGCGTGTGCGTCGCGTGCATGCATCGCGTCCGGGCTATTTGGTTTGCTATCGTGTATGCGCTGGTAGTGTAGGTAGTGGCGGAAGGCGGCAGCCGTTGACAGACCCGAAGGGGACTAGGAGTGCGTTCGAGCCAAGCAACTAATAGCACCCCATGGTGACGGAGCCTGAAGTATGATAGGATAAACATCGGTGTGCACGGGTCTCTTAATGCTCTGTTTTCTTTGGCCATCTCCTGCAAATTTCGGCCTCGGGGCGGAAATGTTCCGACTCTGACTGCGTCGTGCGGAGCCCAGAGTCCAGTTGCCCTCACTTTTCTGTTTAATGGCACGGCGGATAAGCATCTCGGCTCGAACTTAACCGGCGCTCATCGCGTATATTGCCATCCCAAGCCTTTCCCCATGTGCGCTTTTAGTTCATGACTGACGCCCCCCGTTTGGCGCTTACTCTCGCTGGATCTTGTCGCGGCCACTCTTATCCTCCCCAGGTCCTTCGTCGTTCAGCGTGCGAGGCAAGCGATGTAAAGCCGGTGCTTGCTCGGCGGTCTCGCTAGCGCTTGCCTGTGTACTTTTTTCACTCGCCTAAGCCAGCGACTTCCTGCTCTACTACAGTGGCGACCTCTGCAGAGCGATCGAAGCCCGATCAGCGAGAAGTTCTACGGCTGACTCCCGTGCGACCTTCTCTACATGCCGCGCCGGACGATCACACGCAGGCGGTAGCAAGCGGGCTGAAACAGCCGGCGGAGCCACCCACAGCGTACCGCTGAGGCACCATTATCAGAAGCAGACGTGGCGATGGTAACAGGCGTTTTTCTTTCGGCGAGCTTTTTTGCACTATCGCGCCATTTTCTTTCATACCTAGCGTTTGCTTCGCTGCTTTGGTCTTCTCGAGTTCTTCTTCATCGTTCCAGCTTCGGCCCAAGCTTACGTTGTTTTTGTTTCTTCTATTTTTTCTTGCCTTCGGCCTGGCTTTTTCTTTTAACTATCGGCGCCCTTCATTGTCTTTTTCTTTGCAGTTCGGCCTTTTTCTTCGCTTCGCGACTTTTTTTACATTCTTCTTCGGCTTGCTTTCTTTCCGCTTTTTGCATCGGCCTTTACGCATCGGCTTCTTGCGTTTTCTTTTTAGTTCGGGTTCCCCCTCCGAGCTTTGCGTATTGCGTCTTGCCTGTGCTTGCTGCGCTTTTTCTTCTTTGACCTTGACAGGTGTAGCGCCGTGGCCTTCTTTGTCGCCTTTATCAGTGGTGGCGCTGCTGAAGGCGCTGCGGGTGTGTGACCATCAAGCCACTTGCGGCCACTGCTGTGCTGTCTCGGTTTGCGTGTAGTCGGTTCTCTGGTCATTGGTCGACTGCGCGCCTGCTTAATCAACTTTTAATTTTACACTAATTATCCAAGATTTCGACGTATTATCGCATATGTGATCGAGTAATGAAAATCACTTTGTATCTTCTTTAGTAAACAAACAAGAAATCCATACATCCAAATATAAACGAAAAGAACAAAAAACAAAAATAGAAAGATAATATTAAGGATTATTGCCAAAATATATTCTATAGTACGTTATATACACTTGTATAACTTTGTCCACACTCCTGTCCACCCTCCCATGTTCACCCGCATCGTTTGTCTGCATCTCCATTGCGCTCCTAGCACCGTCCTGTCTGCGCATCAGTCCGGACTTACCTCCGCTTCCGCTCACCGATCGTAAGTACCATAGTGTTTCTTCACCTACCTGATGCTGAGGACACATACGGAGATACAACCAGTCACCGCGGTTCAGAGCGGAATATTTTGCAGGTAGCCTGTTGCCGTCAGGGCCGGGCACGCGTCTGGTCACGCAGGCGAATAGAACCGCGATTGCGTGTATCTGGTTATTTCTTGAGGTCGGCGAGAATCGCTGCCTGCTTTCAAGCACTCGCATCAAAAACGCCGAGCCCGATCTAGACGACGACCCGGGACGCTCAGACTGGCATCCGGTTGCAGCGGACTATATGTCGCCGAGCAAAAAATCTTTTTACTCCGTGCGATATCGACGCTTAACGTACTACTTGTCAGTTTTGCTCACGCAGCGGTCTCCGATGTTGCGCCGTTGAGTATCCGTACGAAAGCGCAGCCGGAGCAAAGATCACGGGGATGGATAATCCGATTTCGACAGCCCTGTGAGTGTTGCCAGTCGTCTACCTTGTGAGCCGAGAAACTAAAGCATCGAATACAAGAATAGCTGTTTAGTAGCCAATCACGCTATCCACTTCAGAGACAATTTATAATCATCATTTATAAACTTTACTGCAACCACTATTGCATTTTTCGGATGGAAAAAAAACTGTTGGTCAAATACATGGTATTTGCAGACTCTGCATTACAATGAAATATCAAGAGAGTTGAAATAATAATAATACATATAATATTCCCGAGACATCGATGGCAGTTATCGGGATTCTGTACTTAGGCACGGTTGACGGGTGATTACATACATTCACCGTTCGTGAGTCGGAAAAGCCGGGTAGGCGAGGTTCTTTGGCCAAAGTGCTTATAGAGTATCTATTTGGGGCCAAATAAATAAAATATCGTTAGTTACGTTACTTATTTTTGGAGAAATCTTACGAAAAGTACTTAATAGTCTTTTTTTTGCCAATAGGACCCTTTTCACATTTTCTGTGTTGAATTTTCGGGCGCAAACGGCTTTTCTATCCAATTATTATAAGTGTACTCTTAATAGTCGTGATCTATAGAAATGGGTAAAAAGGTCTTAATTTTGGCCTCCAGAAAGATCTTATACGTCTTATTTCAACATGTGTCTTATACTGATGAACCTGATAAAGGTGCTAGCGTTACTTAGGCCGTTCACGTGACGTCTGTTGGCAATCTAGATTTACTTTTCAGAGGAGGATTCCATCATTTCTGCCTGACTGGCGAACGGTTCTAGCTAAGCATAATCAGGTTCCGCTTCCCATCACATGGAGCGGTGATTAGAGGCAGCCGAGCGGATTGATGAGGATATGATGAGGATGAGGATGAGGATGAGGAAGTGGGGAGGAGTCGAGGAGGAGAAAGACGGCCGAAGGGAAGAAGGATGGGAGAGAGTATCGTGCAAAGGGAGGCCCGAGTAACTTAAGTGATCGTTGATTCCTTTAGCGAGCCATTGATGATGACCATGCAAGAATGCGAGAATATACGATGGAAATGCTAATTAACTGATGGTATGATGACGGATGAACGGAGACGACGACCTTGACAACCGATGAGGATGTGATGATGATAATGTATGATGATGCGAATGAATATGATGTATAGATGCGATGATTTCTAGATCTTCTCTTTCTTCTCCGTTAATCGATTTCTAACGGTGCTAAAGAGATTTTCATCCTCAACTGCATAATTGTTTTCACGCATCCATTGCGGTTCTTTGCACAAATATATATGAAAAGACGTTTGCCTTTTGGGACATTAATAAAAACAGAAGATTATTGAAGGAATGCAATTTTTTATGTAGCATAATAAAATGCTATTTTAACTTTCAATATGCCACGTAGCCTAGGGTTCCATGTTGTCCCTTTGAGGAGTTTGGGGCTAAGGGATTCCAGCGCACGAACTTGCATTCATCTCACCTAATGAGAAAACATTTGCGATCGCATTTCCAGCCGAAGATAAAGCAGGACGAGTTACTGGTTGTTCAAAACTCTACTACTGCTCCTCCACAACTCACGGGAGCGTCAAACGATATGATGAGGCGGCGGGGATAAGACTCTGCAATGACAGGAGGAGGGAGGAGAGGAAAAGAGGAGGAGGAGGGCAACGTTCTGGAAGGTCCATATGCAGGTGAGATTAGATTAGTGGGGAAAAATATGACATAATAATGGTCACATTTAGGTGACCTTATCGGTGACCAACATTATATATATATTATATCATATCTACGTACTATAAGTATACCGTAGATATATATAGTATATAATGTATGTATAGAGAGCGACAGAGAGTAGAGAGAGGGATGCAAGAAAAAGACAAAGAAAAACCAGAGGGAGGAAATGGGGGGAGATAGATACGAGATAGATAGAAAGAAGAGAGAGAGAGAGGAGAGAGAGAGAGAGGAGAGATGAAGAGAGAGAGGGAGAGAGGGAGAGCAAAGAAAGAGACAAAGAGAAACAGAGAAGAGAAAAGGGGAGATGATGAGATAGATCGAATGAGAAGAGAAGGAGAGGAGAGAGTAGAGAGAGAGAGAGAGGAGAGCAAGAAAGAGACAAAGAGAAACAGGATAGAAAGGGGAGATAGATAGATAGAGAGAGAGAAAAAAAATAGAGGAGGAGGCGAGAGAGAAGAGAGAGAGAGAGAGACAGAGAGACAGAGAGAGAGAATATATATATATATGTATATATCAATGCTTCATCTCAGGTCTACGTTCATCATTCCCGCCGATCGCTTCGTTTCAGACTTCTCGCCGCGCAATGAAGACGAAGAGCGTTATCTTCCCCGCTGACTACCAGGGGGCGCTGTCGCGGCTGAGAGACGCGGGAGCGGACTACACGCCGCTCAGCGAACTTCTCGACGGAGAGCATCGCCAGCGCACCCTGGTGTGCAGTCTGTGGGAGGAGAGGTTGATCGAACCGCGACCGACGGCCGACGCCGAATAGCCGCTTGTTTTTGGTTTTCCGCGAGGAGAGAGGTTCGAGCTGGTGATCGGTATACGTGGTCATCGTTCAACATTGATTGATGAATTGATTGATTGAATTACCCATTGATATTGGAGACAATAATTTAGACTGGATGCAATCGTATTGTGTTTTAAAACCATGAAGTCCATTTTTTTACGTGTTTATAATCAGGAGTGAAATAACAGCGAATTCCTTCACGAATCTAGTGCAATATTTATTGTTATATATTCATTATAACGGTATAGATATGTTCTTTACACATTCATAGTTCAAGAGTTCTTTATTATGCAATAGTCACAAATATTCTGGAAAAACACGATAACATATATTTACATCATGAGAAAATCCTTTTGGCTGCTGTTTAAAACTAACACGGCCATTCGAAAATACATGTTCTCTCGATTTATCTCGTTGCAAGGAAGCTTTTATTTCCTTTGTACATCTATATGGTTTTATTTCAATTGAATTTATTATTTATGATTGTCTCACTGACCGTGAAAAACCACTTATTGGTCAACTTAACGTTTAACACTGTAAATATTATTATAACTAACAGCAGTAACATTTTACAGTGATCCGACATTGACACAACATTTATCGGGAGAGAGAGAGAGATAGATAGAGGGGAGGGAAGAGCGCGCACGCAAGAGGGCGAGGGAGGAAGAGAGCACCACGCGAGGGAGAGAGAGAGAGAAGGGGGGAGAGAATGAGAGAAGGGGTTGAGACTATAAATGGATATACTTCTATCGAAGTACACATAGCAATCACAAATTAATTACTCAATAAATTCTCCGAATTAAATTTAGAGCCGTCACGGATAAATTAAATAACATGTTAAAACTAACGCGTATGTTTAAACGTATACGTTTGTATGTACACGTGGCGACATCTCGCGCCGCGTTACGGATGTAACCGGTAGTCGTAGTTGCCGTACCAGACGGCCGCTTGCCCGTACGCCGCGAAACCGTACTGGGCCAACGCCGCCGACGGATGGAAGAGAGTATCGAATCCGGAATTGGGAACGAAGGCCCGCGGATCCGGCAAGGTCGTTCCGAGGTCGTACCGCAGACGCATTGCTTCGTAGAGAACCTGCCACTGCCTCTCGTAGGCATGGTGCGGCGAGTGCCCCGCATCTCTCGTTGCCATGGCAATGCTCGCATCCCTCGCGGTCATAGAAACGCCCGCATCGTTCGTTTCCATGCCGACATTCATACCTCTCATTGCCATGGTAACGCCCACATCTGTTGTTGCCATGGCGACATGCGCACTCCTCATTGCCATTGTAATGCCCGCATCTCTCGTCGCCATAGCAACGCCGCCCGCATCTCTCGTCGTCATGGCGACCCGCAGCCTCTTACGCGGCGTCTCCTCTCTCCGCAGCAGCGTGTCGATGGAGAAAGGAAGCTGACTGACAGGGACGCGTTCCCGGGGGAGGAGGTTGCTGAGGTCGGGGGACTTCCCAGTCCTGGTCGTCTCTCCCTCTTCCTCCTCCTCCTCTTCTTCATGAGGAGGAGGCGAAGGAGAGGAAAGCTTCCTTTTGCCGAGTTCCTGGAAGAGGTCGTGTTCGTAGTGTGCCTCGCGGGATTCCTTGGTGTCCTGTCGCTTGAAGGCGTCTAGAGGGACATTATTTATGTTTACAGTCCAGTGGTTGCCCTGATGAAAATAGAGAGAGAGAGTGAGTTAAAGAGAGAGAGAGAGAGAGAGAGAGAGAGAGAGAGAGAGAGAGAGAG